CGTCACCGTCTCCAAGCGTACGGGACCATAGATGCGTCCAGACTCCTGACGTATGCTAACCTAGGCTTTTCCAGAAATTCTATCAGGCACCCGGCAATACCGTATCAAGCTCAAGGAACACATACCTGGCTCCTTCCGCATAGGGAACGATCTGATAGGCATACGGTATTCTGGCCAGCCGAAGCTGTGCCATAGATGTGGCAGCGAGGAACATTTTGTTGCTGACTGCACAGCAGTAAAATGCAACAAATGTTGCGAAATAGGGCATCAGGCGGATGTGTGTGTTAACGAGATCAAGTGCAACGTGTGCGGTGACGCAGGCCACGCTGGCAGGGCGTGTCAGCTCAGCTTTGCTAACAGGTTGAGCATGGGGACGTCGTGGGCGAGGCCTGTAGCCGCAAGCACTACTTCTGAACACACTAAGTCGAGTGGCCCAGCAGAAACAAGTCCCACTGAGACCTCCTCCACTGCCAAGTCCGGGGATGCTGCTCGGCCTGCCCAGGCTGACAGTGGGGAGGAACAAGATCTGGAAGGAGAGGAAGAGAATGGGAATGAGAACGAGGTTTCGATGGGTGCCAATGAAGAGGAGGGTATGTTACCCAAGTTGCCGTTCCTCACCCAAGCTCTCCCAGATGTTGGGGACACTGCGCAGCAGACTGCCCCTAAACCTGGGACGAAACCTCCACGTGAACAGGTGGTGAAATCTAACTCACCAGCCAAAGCAAAGGTCTGCAAGGCGGCACCTACGACAACCGACCTTCCTGATGAAGCACAGACCCTCCCCAAGCTGTTGAAGGGCACCCCTGAGTCTACACCTATTCCAGAAGAGGGGGCTAGCAAGTGGATGTCCGATACAGAGGATACGGAAATCGCCCAGTCGGCCGATGGTCTTGACCTCAAACTGGATGAATCTGGCGATCACATCTCTGAGTACTCGTCAGAAGATGAGAGCGCCATCAAACGACCTCTGTCAAGCCCAAGTGAGTCAAGCCCAAGTGAGTCGGAAGACTCCAATACAACACGACGACCCGACAAAAAGATCAAGAAAGAGGCAGGCAAGACGGCAAAGGGGACAGGCAAAGTGTCCCCCCTTTCTGGTAACCGCGAAGTGACCTATAAAACCAAAAGTGCCTCGTCCTCGCGGAAAAGGGGGAAGAAAGCTAAATATCTAGCTATGTGAGTTTAGAGTTATCAGTGCAAGACAGGTGGAAACAAGTTGGGCAGAAACTTGTTCTGGTGTGCTACTTGTGTTTTTGTGCGTGTCAAATTGTATACACGTGTATAATGTAAAAAATGACACACTTATAAAGGAAGCAAAGTATGTGAAATGTGTCCCATTAACCACCATGCAGAGCCCAAATTATTCGTAACTATTTTTCTATGCACAAACGGCAAGTTAGTAATAATCCACTAATGTGAAGTGGGGCAATTAGCATCTTTCACATAATAAATCAGTTAAATCTAAAAGACAATATTCTAGTCAATACCTTTTGAATTAGGCTAGCGAAATTGCTTGATTTATTGTTTTTTCAGAGGCTAAAATACCCCATAATTAGCCTCTTCCCACGACTCACAATATTTAGATCCCAAATAAACGACGATTGTTTCTTAATGAATAGCTAATGAAGGGCGTGGTAGTTAGTACCATTCAGATGCA